GGTGTCGCGGTTGTGGCTCCTCCTTCGCTCCGGGCCGGGAGGTGCCCGCCTGGCCTGGCTTGGGCCTGGGCTGGGCTCGGGCTGTGCTGGGCGCTGCCCCCGCAGGGAAGGGGTTCTGACTCGCCTCACGGCGTCACCCTGCCGCCTGTCGCAGTCACCGGGAGGCGTAGCGAGGCTGTCCCAGCGCTGTCCCCCCCGAGTGCCGGTCGGAAGGGAGAGAAGCCCCCCCAGCACGGCCGGCGGGGAGCAGGGCCGTCCTGTTGCCGGAGGGGGGTGGTCTCAAGGCGGCAGTTCCCTATTGTTTTGAGCGTATCTGTGTTTGTGTTTCAATGAGTCATAGAATCGGTTTGTTTGGAAAAGGCCTTTAAGGACGTTGAGTCCAACCATTAACCTAATTCCACCGAATGCGGCCCGCCCGCCCTCTGGCAGAGGGACACCAGAAGTCATAGAATCGGTTTGCTTGGAAAAGGCCTTTAGGAACATTGAGTCCGACCAATGTTTGACTCAGCTGGGGAAAAGGAGTTGGATTTCACACAGGTTAGCCTCCCTCATCTCTGGTGTCTGTTGCTCTGCTTGCTGGTGTGAGGGAGGGGCTGGTGGGAGTTTGGGATAGACGGGGGTGCAGCTCTTTTTGGGGGGAACCTTGATGGTTTCTGTGCTCTAAAGTGGTTGTGTACAGTTTAATTCAGTCATCTTTTCAACTATTAAGCTTCTTACTCTTAAAGTATTTGCTTAATAAGTAATTATTAATTTGTGCCTCAGTCTGTTGAAGAGTTCACAAAGAATGGCCTCATTTCCTTCAGAGTTTTGAACTTTTACAGGGTCCTTAAAGTTCTGACTTGTTGCTTATCAAATTTATGCCTGTGAAGAAAAGAATATGTAGGTAACAGGAATGTCTTTTTTTCCATTAATTATTTCATCCCCAACATCTTCCTGACAGACACAGATAGATAATGATGTTATCCTAACACAGAAAATGCTGTAATAGAAGTTTTACTGGATAGTTTCTACATGGATCATGGAAAGTCCAGATTTCTGTATATAGAGGCTACAGACCTTGTTGCAGCATAACTCACAATTCCACTTAGTCTATAATGAAACATAAATTAGTAAAGTTTTGACAGGAAAAAAACACATAATATTTAAAAGGTGACTTAGGAAAATTTGCTTCTATTATTTATGCATGTTAACAGCAACTTGAAGATGTTTAGAAATTAGAACAGCAGATGTATGTCCATGGGTCTCAATATCTTAGAAGATACAATTTTACATAGTAGTTTTCAGTGTAAGGAAAAAACACATTTAGTGTGATTCATGCTAGTGAACTACAAACATTCAGATAATCTTAAGTGTTTCAAACATCTTTTTGTTTAACAAGACTTTGGAATTGCTTTACTGCGAGACTAATTAGTTGCCTTGGATTTTTTCCTATGTGATAGCTAGTGCAAATTATCAATCTATAAATTAAAAGACTGCATTTAAGTAAGAGGGAATATAATTAAAATAATAAATTACATAATCCTAAATACCATTCTCTTTTGGGCCATGCAGAAATATCTGAGGATTCAGCCTCAGTTTTCACAAGAACACAAAGTGGATCTCTGACATTTTTGCATTACATGAATGATATAAAAGCTAGACAAAAGTAAAGAAAACACAGACCTGAATGTCT